CCCCCCCCCCCCCCCCCCCCCCACCCCCCCCCCCCCCCCCCCCCACCCCCCCCCCCCCACCCCCCCCCCCACCCCCACACACCCACACCTACACACCCCACCCACACCACACCCACACACACCCACACACACCCACACACACCCACACCTACACACCCCACCCACACCCACACCCACCGACACCCACACCCCACACCCCGCACCCACTCTTACACTAACTAAAAAAAGAAAAGGATTTCAATACGATTAGTTTGAAAAAAAAATTTCTTTAATTCAGTAACTCTATAACAGTAAGATTTTAGGGTCGAATGATGTTTCTAATTGCAAATGATACTTTGTGCTATCATACTTTATATTGAGCTCGAAACCGGGTTTTTATGCAAAAAAAGAGGGATATAGTCAAACAAGTTAATTTTCAAAAATATTTTCGTTTGATGTTTTTCATTTTTTTTAAATCAAGAGGACCTATTTACAATTTATCAATTGCATGAGAAATAAAGATAAATATTGAATCATTATTATGTTTAATAAATTGAATACGTTGTTTTCTTAAATATTGATCATATTTAATTAAAGTTGAAATAATATCTGAAATGTGATTAAGATAAATTGATGAATTAAAACCAATTCCTTTTATACATAATTGATGAAGAAATTTACATGTTATATTAAGACCCCTGTTTTTATTTGTTGTTATGATCGAAAAGAAATTATTTGACAATATGGTTCATTACCAAAATGGAATTTAATAAAAACTTGGTCAAAAGAAAACTTAATTAATAAAGATGATGCTGGTATTCAATATATTCGTGTTAATCCATCTCGTTCACAACTTGATCTTGTTATTAAAAATAAAAATGATCAATTTCGTATTGCTCTTTATTCAATGGATTTAACACATATTTGTTGCAATTCCAATTATTCCTTCATTATCACGATTAAAAGAAAATCGAAGTAATGATTTTATGCTTTATTTAACATCATTTATTGATGATCGTTGGTGGTTACTTATTTATGGAAATGGAATCCATGAACATTCTCTTTTACTTGTTGATGATCAAACAGAAAAATCGGAAACAATTATTGATGATTCTATACCTAATGCTTGTATGTTAGATGAACAATATTTAATAGTTCGAATGAAACAATTAATGTTAATCTATGATATTCAATAATATAATATTATTATTGATTTATTTTAGTATTTCAGACTGTATGCAAAAAAAAAATATATTTAAAAGAATAGATAAATCAAAAACTTTTCGAACAATAGTCAGTGACTATGATATAAGACAAGAAGGAGAAGTCTGAGTTAATTGATCAAAAATGCTAAGTTTAGGAATAAACCAGAGTGCTACTAAGTTTCCTTGATAACATTATTTTCTATGGAACTTTTATCTTTAATTTTTTTTCATAGGATTTGATTCTACAGACAAATATTTTTTTAATGCCTAATCAAGAAAATGATGGCATGATTTTTTTTTGTATCAGATGAAAAATACACAATCAAATCTCTGAAATGAAAGATACATTATCAAAAAAAAGATGATAACA